GTAACTCGAAACAGAGTGAGACAGAAGAAAGAATGGGGAAGAGATTCCAGTTGCCCAAGTTCTCCCGAGTGATCCCATCATTCCACTACTGTCGTTCCAAAAACCTCGACGACACCTATCCTTCCCATCCCGCCCCTATTTCCTCCTTCCACCGCCTTGTCTCCTCCTCCGCCTCTGCCACCGCCACGCATCCCCTGCCTCCGCCGCCAGATCATCCCAGCATCACCAGGTTTTGTTTTTTTCCCCATGGTATCCAAGTTCTGAAATGTATATTTTATTTACCCTTGATTACAAGATGGTTCACTTGGTGGGAGGGTTTTGTGACTCTCTCGCTTTCGCTTTTACTGGTTGTAACATGTGTGTTGGCATCACATCATTCGTTAGTTTATGTATGGTACGAGTGACAAATGACAAAACCTACTATGTATTCCCCGGTATTCGGTATGCCGATATTAATACCAAATACTGATTATTCGGTATACCGGTTAACATTCAGTATCGGTATTCGGTGGGTACACTATCTGTTTCCGGTATACCGAATACCGGGTAATCGATATCCGGTATACCGAATACCGACAGACTACCAGCCCTACCTTCGGAGAAAGGAAGAGAGAATTCAGAGAAAAGAAGAGAGAAGGAGGGGTTGAGAGAGTTTAGAGAGAAAAAGTGGTTGTGGCATTAATTGCCCCATCACTTCTATTTCTGACACAAATTGGGGTTTCTTTCCCCAATTTCTCCAAAATCCCCAAAAGCCCGCCCAACACAGATTCGGGCCCACCCACATTAATAGTTGTTCACCCTAACAAATATCCACACCACCAAGACTAGTATCTCAACATTCCACACAAATATCCAAACACATGAACTAAAGGAATATTCTTCAAGTTCAAATAAATATCCACGCAAACCAGAAACATATCCAATCTTTCAGAGAAAAGTCATGTGATCAATAAATGATATTACAACCAAGAATGAAAAATATCCACAACACACTAATTAATATCTAATAGTTTTACCCATAACCCGAACCCTAAGCCCTAAAACCCTGAATCCTAAACAAACAAAACTAAACCCTAAAATCCTAATCACTAAACTCTCAAAACTAAACCATTAAACACTAAACCCTAAACCTTAACACAAACCCTACAGAACCATATCCAAACATCTCATACCAATATCTAGTGTAACCTAATATTGTAAATATAACAGACTAATATCCACAACACACTGAATAACATCCACCACACACTAAACAATATCCACCATATACTGACTAATATCCACCACACTGACTAATATTTTATAGTTGTACACTAATCCAAATAGTTACCAAAAGTGCTAGATGCTTAAATAAACGTTGGACAACATCTTAATAGTTACCAAAAGTGCCCCATTAGAATATACAAACGTCCAAGAAAATTTCCGAAAACATGAACTAATATCACTTCAAACCAAAGTTGGACCTAAAATCCTTAACCCTCTTCCCAACACAAACCCTAAACCATAAAAACTATTATTATTTAATGGGCAGTTACCAAAAGTGCCTCATTAGAATATCCAAACGTCCCAGTCAAATATACAAAAACATGAACTAATATAAATTCAAACCAAAACTAAACCCTCAAAACTAAACCATTAAATGCTAAACCCTAAAACTTAACAAAAACCCTACAGAACAATATCCAAACATCTCAGACCAATATCTAGTGTAACGTAAATAATATTGTAAATATAACACACTAATATCCACAACACACTGACTAACATCCACCACACAATAAATAATATCCATCATATACTAAACAATATCCATCACACACTGACTAATATATGATAGTTGTACACTAATCCAAATAGTTACCAAAAGTGCTAGATGTTTAAATAAATGTTAGAAAACATCTTAATAGTTATCAAAAGTGCCTTGTTAGAATATCCAAAAGTCCAAGAAATTTTTTGAAAACATGAACTAATATCAATTCAAACCTAAGCTAGACCCTACATCCTTAACCCTAAATTGTAATACAAACCCAAAACCATAAAACTATCATTATTTAATGGGCCTTCGGTCCATGGGCCCTCGGCGGGCAGCCCTTACTAAGGTTGCAAGCCTTATGTGTTAAGACTTTCTAGTGTGTTTAATTTCCTAGTGTGTTTAATTTGATGTAAGAAACAATATTCCAATCCTTCACAAATTGAAAACCTGAACCCTAAACCCTAAAACTTAAAATCTAAATTGGTGTAATTAGTTTCGGGTGGTTGGGTTATTTTGGGGTTTGGTAAATATTAGTTTAATGATGGATATTGGTTTGCGAAGGAAGAATACTAGTTCATTTCAACAATGATGCAACGTAATATCAACACAACACATAATAATATCGACTGAAAACAAATAAATATCCACACAAACAAACATGCATAAATATCACATGGCCTGCGGGCCCACAATTTTCGTTCTCTCTTTCCACTCCTTTCCAAAATCCCGCCCAATCTGAAGCGGGCCCACCATGCCACTTCCTCGGCTCGCCTTCTGCGCCGCACGCTGGGCTGGCTTCTACTCCGAAGTCCATCTCCAGCTCACTTAAGTGAGCCACCAACAAGCCTGTCTCTCCTCCGTTGGATTACACATGGGCCGACATGCCGAAAATCCGGCCATGTGAGTATCTGCTAACGAATAATGCAGTTAGCATATTAACTTCTCCGACTGGGGGAGGAGAAAGCAATGATTTTAGTTTTTTTTTTGGTGATTTGTTATTTTTTTGGGGAAATATTGTTTTTAAGTTAATTATGTGTAAAAATTTAATTTTTAAGTTGACGTGGCAAAAAAATTATAAATAAAGTGACATGTCATCAGTCAACATGATAACTGTTAGTCCTATCAGCATCAGCATTTGGTCCGTTAAAGTTTTGGACGGAATGACTATTATTGATTTATTGTCACAATGCGAAAAGTTATGGCTATGAAAGTGTATTTTGCCTAACTGAAACGCTGATTAATTATGGTATAAATAGTAAAACTCACTACTAATACGTATGCTAGCCTAGCTTTATCTCACACAGAAATACATATATACATATATAACGAGTGAGATGGTACTACCTAGATTATTAAATTCTAATAGTTTGAGATATGTTACTATAATCTGACCACTATTGTGTGAATCCCATGTCTAATCTCTAAATTCAAGCCCAAAATCAATTTAATCAAAAACAAAAATTGACGATTGGTTGAAATTCAACTAAGTAATTTCAATAGGAAAAATCACCTAAACTATATAACGCCTATGTTTGGCCCGGCTTTTAGAAGTGATTTTAGGCTTCAAAAGTTGAAGCAGGGCCAAACACCTCTAAAAGTTCGGCTTTTGAAAAGCCGAAAAGCGCTTCTGTATAACATAAAAGCAGAAGCTCCGATTTGGAGCTTCTGCATTGTTTTGAAAATACAAGATTATCTAACCATATTTTAATTTTATTTCAGAAAATATAATTTTCCTTCATTTATATCATTCTAAAAATAAAATAAATTATAAAATTATATTATTTAATATAAAAGAAATCTAACAAGATCCATTTTAACTACTTTTGATTGTTTAGAATTTGTATTCATATTTTATCTTATAAGTCCTTTAAAGTCATTTTACACAACCGCTCATATTAAAAAGCACTTCTAATAGTTTTACATCCAAACACTAAACTGCTTTTTTGAAAAGTACTTATCTAAAAGCTCCAACTAGAAGTTGCTTATGCAAAAGGTACAGTAGGGCCAAACTAAGCTAATACTCCAGGAGTGCCTATGCCAACATTTACAGAGGCGTGATAATAGTAAAATATCCGAAAAATGGTCCAGTTTCAAAAAAAAAAATTCTCACAATACCACACTTTACATTTTCCCCCTAAAATACCAAAGTTTGGAGTGCTTCGCTTGACACTGAAGCGAACCACATCCGAAATGACAGGATCGCACCCGAAACGGCTGAAAAGGCCCAAAATTAAGGTGTTTCGCTACCAACCCCAGCGAACCAATCCTAATCAAGATTTCGAACGGTCATAACTTTGCACTGGGTTGTCCGGTCATGGTTGAAACCGGGAACCCATCCAATCCCGTCTTCAATTGTGGTATTGGTCAAAACGGTTTTAAAAAATTGGGTTAATCCAGTCCAATTTTAACCGGATTGAACGTTTCCCACCCCTAACTCTTACTATCATGTATTCAACCTTCTTGCCATATTGGTATGTTCATACCATCATGGTACGCTTTTGTATCATATGGTATTAAATAGGAGCATATCATATGGTAATGAATGGTAAAAAATTATTCAATTTTTTTTGTACTAAAAATATATCAAAGTGGATATCATTTTAAATAGAACATTTAATCTGATTTATCTGTGCAAAAAAAAAAAGATTCGACTTAAAACGAGAGAGAAATCGTCCGTTAAATATTAAAGAGGAAAAGATAAAAGACTTTCCAGGAAAGAGAGGATATTGATGTGGATATTCAACCGAAATCGATTATTTCTTAAATGGTTACTGACCATATAGTTATTGACTTGACCCGTTCCCCAATTACCCTTACCAGTGGATGCATAGTAAAATGAAGGAGAATGGTCCCATTAGAGGAACACGAAAAGGGTAGTAATTTGAGAATTTCCATTCAATAATGGTGGAAGCAGTCTCTATATACCAAGTTGAAGACGAAGCTGAAAAGAATATTATACGCCGGCAATCAATCAACCGCGGAGGCTGCTAGCCTGCTACTACAACTTTGAAGCAGTGCCAGTGCCAGTGCCATCATCATTTGCTAATGGCAGCAATAAAAAAAACTAGAAATCTACAACCTTTATTACAAATTAAACAACAACATCAATCATTTTTCATTTACCACAGGAAAAATAACAACATTAATACAGAATGAAAGAATTGAGGGGGAATAGTTGATCCCCAAGAACAGTATGAATCGAATAAAAGAAATACGAAGATGACATCAATGAATGACGTGACGATCATCAGTTGTTGACGGCGCCGCAAATCCTCCTAATCTGGCCAGCTGAACCAGTGAGAGGCTGAATATCTCCCATCCTGATCATGGCCGCCGCGAAATCGGCACTGAACCTGGAAGGACTCCTGCTATACTCCATCACAATACTATCCGTAGATCCGCCGCTGAACAGCACTTGATCGGTCTCAAGAAGCCCCTTCCTCTGCACCAGATTCCTGAAGTAATTATTATCAAACGAATTGGGAGTCACCAAATCCATCGCGGCCAACGCATCATCTCCACCAACAGCCGGGCAGCGACGCCTCCTTGTGCTAGCGAATCCACGGTCAATAATATTATCAGTTCCGTTGCTATAGATCCTGTCGCGAAAGGTGAAGCATTGGGCCTGGCCCAAAGTATGGGCCCCGGAGAGCGCAACCATATCTCTCGGGCTGAGCCCTTTGGCCCCGAAGTTGTCGATCAGGGTCTGGAGGTCGGCTTTGAAGAACGGGAGATCGGTGAGGGTTTCATCAGGGAATGCCGACGTGGAGTCTCTCCTGCCGAGCTTCACGGCCCACGAGGGGCCTCCCACGTAGGCGGAGGCTTCTTTTGCCGCCACGGCGAGGACGTCGGCGCATGAAACGACCCCAGGGCAGATCGTTTCGAGTCGGGCTTTGGCGGCGTCGATGAGCTCGTAGCCTCTGGCGGATTTGTCGTTTGGTGGGGCGGTTTTCTCGGAGGTGATGGTTGGGGATTGGTCGAGGAGGATGGAGGCGTCGCAGCCGTGGACGAAGCAGTCGTGGAAGTGGAGGCGGAGGAGGGAGGCCGCCATTCTTCTTTCTCTGGAGATGGCTGTTCTGATGGAGTTTCGTATTGTGGAGAGGGCGTTGGGGCAGGAGCTGGCGTAGAAGTTTGTGGAGAGTTGTGCTTCCGACTGGTTTATGGCTACAATCATGAAGAGAAGCAAAGCCGGTAGGAAAGCTGATTTTGAGGGTGATCGAACCGTTACGGTAGCCATTGCTCTAGTAATATTTGAAAGTCGGGAAAAGGATCGGAGGATTTCTATTGTCTGAGGAAGGAGAGAGCTGGGAAATGAGGGGATGATGAGTGCTGATGAATTGAGAGAAGTTGGTGAAGAATACTGCATGGTGCTGTGGTGGTTTTATATAGCTACAGAAGCTAGAGCTAGTGGCCGACAACTCCATAGAAAGTCAAAAGCTGAATTTTATGTGAGGTTAAATAGTTAAACCGCGTGGTTATAGCATTATAGGAGCATTTTTAATATTTTGTTCAAGTCAAACCTCCTTAGGTATACTATTTCTCAGTTAACTTGTTATAAGAACCGGATCGTATTAACGGTCGGGTAAGTAGAATTGTCAAATTAGATATAATAATTATTAGTCGGTTTGCTTGTAACTTGAACATTGATGGATGTGTTGAATAATTCTTAACAGTTGGATATGAAACCAGATGAACCATCTCGATTTAAATGAAGACTATCCAACCCTAACTATTATTTTTATTTCTACTTCCTCTTCTTCATTTTTCTACAGCCTCCTTGTAGTGGTCCGCTACCAATTGCCAACTCTAATTACTGATTTGAATATGCTAAATTTGTTGTATGTTTTTTTAGAGAGTTCAAATAATTTAATTTATTAGAACGTTTGATGAGAGATGATAGAGATTTGAAATTGTTTATAGTTATATATCTTTCATTTTGTAGTATATATATGAATGATATTGTATTTGTAACCACGATTAAACAAAAATTCTCTAACTTAATTTTCTGGTTTTGATATGATTCACCGGTTAATTAGAAAATATTTTCTAAGAGTGGAAACAGCTAGCTAGTCTGTTTGGAAATGTCAACGTACGTAAACCTGGTCCATGACAATGCTTGCAAGTAATTTAAGTTGAAATGATGAGAAGAAAAAGTCGCAGCGTATTGTGGATAACGAACGATGCCAGGCTGGCTGGCTGGGTGATTAATTTTGAAAGACAGCTATAAATGGGTAGGATAGAGTATGATTCAATTGGTTCGGCGGTAAAAGCAAGTGTGCGAGTCGGACTGTGGAGGCGGAGGCCAATTATTTACCAGAGAGTACTATTCATTCAAACATGGCGACGGTGGGCCGTGGGCGGGAGAGAGATCAGAACCAGCTTCCTATATTATGTATCGTTTCTGCCATTTTACGGGCCAACTTGCGCCCATTTGTTTGAATGATTCAAGTAGCAAAATTTTGTTGCGCGTTCCACATCTCTACCAACTTTTTGGCATTACGCGGCACCTCTACAACTGTACCTTTCGGCGCTAGTTCCGATTAGAGTAGAAAGAGGTGTAAATGATTAAGAATATCTTGATTTCATGTTGAACTAAGAATCAGAAAGGTTCATGGAGTGAACAGATCTGCGAGGATTATAGGTGATAGTTACAAGTGTTAGGGTTCTTGAAAACAAAAATGGCGAGTCATATCATAGTCCATGCACCCCATGCACACAAAGAGGTCTTCACACGTGACACGTGGCTGAAGAGAAGCCCAATAAAAATTTGCTCTATAATCATCAATAGTTTGGCACCAACCGTAAATTTGACATCAAACTGAAATTCTTTGCAATATGTGGTTAATTCTGTAATAGAGTTAGCAAATAATTTAGATTTAAGATGGTTCCTCTCCCTACTTGTTTTAATTAAAATGCGAGCTACTTCTAACCTCTCCTCTATCCCCTTTTTTAATAGATTGGATTAAATGGATTGGTGGATTTATTAATTCATAAATCCAACCAACATATAAAACTTGGGACCATTATGAACATTTTGAAATGTTCCGGCAATAAATATCATAATAAAAATGTAGCTGTTGAAATATAATTTTTGAAGAATATTATTCATTAAAAAATAAAATTTAGGTAAATATTTTTATATAAAAAATATAGGTTCTAAATTGTATATGTTTTCAACCATGCATGAATTCACCAATCCAATTGAATTTAAATTAAATATTTGAATTTAACTTAATTGAATTAGTTAAATTTCTTGGTGGATGAATTGAATTGAACTGTGGATTAAATTGAAATTGTCACCTCTAATTTGTAATTACTAACTCAAATAACAAACCAGAATGACCATAACTTAGAGATAATAGATTGGAAGTATCATGTCGTGATTTCTTAAAATCTACCACTGAAAATGATCTTAGCTAGGTTGAAATGCAAAATAAAAGTTATTATTTTTTATAAAAGTTATTATTTTTAATTAAATTCATTTCATGTTTTGGGTTTACAAAATTAGTTGTTGGTCTAAATAACAAAATTCTACAAGTACAATAAAATAGGGCACTCAGGCATATACTAGTAGGGCTTTAGATTTAAGTTGTTCTAGAAAATCCAGATCTAAGAGTTATGAATTAAAGGCATTTATTTTCCCTAGTTTTTTAAATCGGCTCTTATCTTTTTCCAAATTTTTTTGAACAGATGGAACGAGTTCATTGTACTCTACAAAATGAGATCAATTTTCAATATATTTCAAGAAACTTTTTCTCATACCTCTCGTTACCAACTACATATCATATGGTGATTTCTTTGTTTTTAAGTCGTTTTTGAAAATGTTTGCTGAGAAGGAACGAGTTCATCATAATCTATTGGATCTACAAATTTCTGGATGAAAAAAATACATGACAAAAAATTATCGTACTTTACCACTATGGTATGTTGGTGGTAACTTGTGGTAAACAATGATGAAAGTCGTAAATTGACAGTTAGTACACTTCGTCTCCTACACTACAAAACCAACAAACATTGGGGACAAACATAGGGGACAAAGGTTTAATTGTGTGCCGAAAAATACCATTTTAAGTAATTTTAGGGACAAGGGAATAAAATCGTCCCCGTAAATGAAGAGATAAACATTTGACTAGTTTGGCATTTTTTTAAGCGTCCCTAATGATCTGTACGCTAAATTAAATGATAAAGTTTAGCGGTATCGGAATCTGAGGGATCTATGGAAATTACCTTTTTTTTACCGAGCCCTCCTACGATTAATTAGAAGAAAAAAAAACAATCATTTTTAGAGGCTCGAGTACACGGCTGAAGGCATTTGGCTTTCGACTAACATTACACTTTCTTTCCTTTAAGTGATTTCTTCTTATTCAGCCAAAAGCTACTGTTCGGATTGTTTCAAGTTTATGAGTTGTGCATTTTGTCCCACATATAACTTTTATAGTTTTATTTGCTTTGGTTTGGCTATTAGGTGAGATTGTTTCCTTAGGAGAATGAATATATTTTTTTTTTGTGACAATCTCTCCTCTTCGAATATAATATCAAAATTTATGGTTTAAGGGCACCAGGTCGTCCCTATGAATCATATAGGTGACGATTTGTCGTCCCTAAATACACTGTTTAAACCACATGTAGCTATAACTACAAGTTAAATAAGTTACGATTTGTTCTCTCCAAAGATATGACACTAACTCTCAATTCACAAAAGATGGGGAGAAAATTGGAGATAGAGAAAATTTAGAGGAAGTGAAAATTTGAGAGTAGTGAAATAATGAGAAAATGTGTTCATATTTGAAGGGGAAACGAGGAGGAAAAGAGACACAAGAAGTGTAAGAGTAGTTTTCACCCAAATTTGAGGGGTATTTGCTACAATAGTTTTCCCCTTAAAGACGGTGCTTATTAAGGAACACGTGGTCATAAGTACAAGTTATATATGTTATGATTTGCCATTCCCAAAGATATAATACTATAGAGACATATGGTTTTAACTACAAGTTAAATAAGTTACGATTTACCCTCCCCGAAGATATAACACTTGAGGGACAAGTGATTGTCCCTACAAGTTATTTGTAGTTGTCCTCGAAGACACATATTGACAAACACTTTGTCGTTGTGCAAATAACACATATAGCAATTAGTCATCCTCGAAAGCACATGGTAAAGGATAATTGGTCATCCTTACAAATTACATGGAGACGATTTATAATCTTAGAAGACACACATATACATCATGGAATCCTCAACCCCAAAGATAATGTTAATCACAACTTAAAGTTTAAAGTGTGTATCTCACAATTTTGAAATATTTACAACAATAATATTATATTGTAATTTCATCACACAAAATCAAATTATTAAAATAACAATTAGGAAGAAAGTGATTTGTATATATACACAAATAAGTGAGTATATGCTAGGTAGTTGTTTATTATTATTATTATTATTATTATTATATCTAAAAATAATTATGGTAATATCTGGATGACCGCCTTTAATCCATCGTTTTACTGAGCAAAACATACAGACCCCCTTATTCTAGAACCCTCCATCTCATCTTATTTCATCTTAACCGTTCATTTTAATTGATCCAAATCCACGTACACCATCAATTGAAATAAAACCTACAAAAACCCTACTTCTATCTCATCCTTCTATTTCACTCGCCCGAGTGGCCTCCACTTTCTCCCATTCTTTTCTTTTCTCTATTCCATATGGCTGCCGGCGAGGAATCTTTAAATATATCATCAGACGTCGTCGAGCTCCAAATTGATGCTTCTCTTTCCCATATTCATAGAGGTGGCAATTGGATCGGATTCGTGGATTCGTGGATTGGATTGGTGGATCCATGGATCAAATGGATTGGATCCAATGGATTGGTGGATTCATGGATTGGATCAAATGGATTGGTGGATTGATCCATGAATCCAAATGACATCCAAGGCTTGGACCAAAATGTAAATTTTGAAAAGTTTAGGTACTAAAATGTCATAACAAAAACATTTAGGTACCAAAATGTAATTTTCCAATGATTTTTTCGTATAAAAATATAAATTTTAGGTACCAAAATGTAAAATATAAAAAATATAGGTACCAAATCGTAATTTGCCATTTGGATCCATGGATTGATCCATGAATCCACTAATCCAATTGGATTTGGATCAAATGGATTGGATTTAAATGGATTGGATTAAGTGGATAATTTGGTGGATGGATTGGATTGGATTCATGAATTTGGATCCTAAT